CCTTGGCTAGTTGGACCAAAGGAACCCTCCTTTCATTTTTAGAAAACCGTTGACCCATGCTGTCGCGAGGAAGATGTTTCCACAACCCTGCCTTAGCTGATGTTCACTGGCTCATTTGGACCTGGTGAGTTGTATCCTTACATCACTTGCCCTCCATGAAATACAGTAATCCAAACATCAGTTGTTTTGGAGCGCATGCGCGAAGGTGTTTAAATGCCAGATCAGGGATGTGAAGATTCTGCATTTGCCGCAGCTACTGACCTAGTATGACTGCTGATGTGGAAAGGGGAGGAGTGTTCGCGGCTTGAGTACTTGATTTGATATTGCCCTTCTAGAATCGAAAGTGGGAACGCGCGGGAGACAAGCTTTTCACAAAGTACACATGCATCACATTCCTGTGGTTCTGAGTGAGGACATGTCAGGGGTTGTTCAAGGATCATGCAGATGGATGTCTTCTGTTGAATCCAATGTGACTCACGTTGACGTAGAATGCAGATGTTTGATTGTGTGTGTGTGTGTTGGTTTGAACTGTGGCCCCTTGTTGCTGAATTGACTAAGGAAGACCAAATCTGGCAAATCCATGAAAACTAGTGGTCATTTGATGGCAACTGTTTGGATTCTGGCGCTTTGTGTGCATTCTTGCCCGCGGCGATGGATTCTGGGTTCAAGTTTCGCGCTTCAAACGGGCCGGTTTGCTACCGCGTGTTAGCCTTTCTTAGGAGAAGAAGAAGGACGCGCTGCGTCTGCTGAAGAGTTTCAGCCGTGTCGATGAAAGGCCCGAAGCGGGGCACTTGCTTGGGCGAGTGTTTCAGGCTTGGTAGAGTGCAGAGCGCGTTCAACGAATTGCATGATTGGCTGTGCCAAGCATTTGCGACATTTGTTTTTACGCCATTGGTTTCAGCTAGATGCACTTCATGTTTGTTTGATATTGTGAAGTTCCTGCCAGCCAAAAAGCACAGTTCGGCAGTGTGACAATGAGCCAACTCCCTAACGTCCCATGAGCACACGTTCGAGATTCTGTGATGCACAGGGACATGTTTGTTCGGAAGGTGATTCCGTTTTGCCTCCTAGCCAAGTTGACAGCGATGGCTTGCAATTGCTACGCCCACGGTTACCGGTTACCCTATGCTTTAGGTCTCAGCCTTCATTGGACCTGGTAATGCGCAGCCCTTGGTCAGACGGTCAGACGGCCTGGTTCCCAGGCTTGTCCGGACGCGGCTGAGTCACATCTCAGAGGGCCACTACGCACCACGGCTGACAGTGGCTGGCGATTGACGGGTTTTTACATCAGCAACCCATGCGGAGTGAGGATGGGGAAACTACAGTAAGCCAGGCTTTGACTGGAAGACTTGATCAAATCAAGCCGTAACCTGAGTGTGCTTGGAGGGGTTAAGCTGCAAATGCTGCAGTGGACTCGCAAGACTCTGGCATGCGCCGTGTGGCTCAGCGTCCTAAGGATGTCAATGGCGACGTGGTCCGCCCGCTCAATTCCAAGAGCAAGGGCGAGGACGAGATGGAGGTGACAGACGAGGCCATCCGAGCAAACGCAAGGTGTCCTAGCCTTTTGTTCAAGTCGCAGGGCATCATGCTACAGTTTAGTATGGTCTAGAGAATGTTGGTTGGCCAAGGCGCAGGCTACCAGTATGGTGGAGGGCGCATCGGTCCTTCTTTATGATGTAGAGGAAGGTCAATTTGTACTGAGTTTGCACTGCTTATGGCGAGCTCACCCATGTTGAAGAGGTTGCGTTTGGGCTAATCATGCCACTTTGAGACTCCCCAAGGCTTGCGAACCGGTTTTTTGCGCTTTGATTGATTGATTGGCAATACTTCCTGGGCAGAGCCAGAGCATGCGCATTGGTGGTGAGAAGGGTGATTGACTCGGGATTCTCCACAACAGACGCGTCTTGAGAAGAAACAGTACAAGGCGAGTAGCGTTGAATAGCAGCCCCCAGACAAGGCAAAGGCAGCTTCAACCGGCTCACGTTGGGAAGGGCTCGATCTGTTTAAGGGATAGCCGAGTTCTGCTCCAATCAGGGGGATAAAAGTAGGGAGACATCGTGGTAGCTACGGTCAAACGCCTGTCAGCGCCGTGACTTTACGGCTTAGCCTGCCTTGGCTCTAGAAGAGGAGGTGTGGTGACACGAGTTTCGGGTGCACACAGGCCATGAAGAGCTTTCCGAGCGGCATTTTCTGTCCAGATCTGTGATGATTCATTGCAGCATAGGCTGCTCCTCCCATGATAATGAATATTATTGGATACGGCAGTGGATTTTTGAGGGGTCTGTAGCAGAGCATCGTCGCCGGGCATCCAATTATAGACCTCGTTACAGATCGCAGTAACAAGACCCGCTGGCCCCGTTTAACATGCCTTCATTTAACACCTCACATGAACACACATACCCCGATGCGTGCCGAGACTTTCAGTGATTTCTCACGGGTTCCTGCAGGGCAGACTTTTGTAGAGAATGTTTTCATTGAAGAGGCAACTTGCAGGGAGCTTGCCATTCAGAAGAAGCTTCAGAACAGGGCTACCTCGTTACACACCTCGTTACATGGCCGTTACATACCTCGTCACAGACCCACCCAGCCCTCGCTTGGCTTGCGTTGGATACTTGCAACTTGCAAACTGGAGCTGCGGAGGCGCGCTTTGCGTACTGCACTTTGCTATGCCTTGCTGCTCATCTTGTTGCATGCCTGTTGCATACCTCGTGACAAGCCTGACTCTAGGCTGGGCGAGCGAGCCCCTTTTTGTCGCCGTCTGGCTTGCATTGAGCAGTTGCAGCTTTCAAGCTGGAATTGCGAAGGTGCGCTTTGCGTACTGCACTTTGCAATGCCTCATCGCACGCCTCGTTACATAGCCGTTTTATACCTCGCTACAGGCCCAGCCTCAGCCCAAGCCAGCGACCCCACTCAAGCTGGGTGTGTTTTGCATACTGCACCTGCACTGACTGAACAGTTGCGACTTTCGAGCTGGAGCTGCAGCTCTCTGTGTTCTTTGCACGCTACATTGTGCCTTTTGCACTCGTCAAGCAAGATTGTTTCCCGTTATTCACCTGTAAGTAACAAGGACCCCGTGACAAGATACCTGCAAAACGTCATACAGGGGCATGTGGGCTGTCGCAAAATACACGGAGAAACGCCAACGACTTCCAAATCCTGCTCTGAGCTTGCAATGTTGTCAACACCACACGGAGGGGTATTTTGATATTTACATGGAATCCCCCCAAAAAAAACAGGCCCCCAAAGGGCGATTCCTTTGAAAACATGACTCTATGGCATTTTGGTTTCATGTCAATTTGCATGGGAGCAATTTGGAGCGGGAGACCTTATTCAGTTTGGGCGATGGCGCTTTTTGGTTTTTGCAGGCCAGTTGTTCCTTCCGGCGCATTTCAGCGGAGATGGCAAAGAATGCGAAGGCTGGCTCATGGGTCTTCGGGCAAGCAGCCATTTTCTGAATGTGCTCACTTGCCCAAAGCAAATAGACCTTTTGACATTGATTTCCCCATGTTGGTCCATGTTTAGTGATGGCTTGAGAGGTGAAACAGGTTATTCGAATCTGGTTATTTCTTGCTCCTTTGGGCAACTGAGTTTGCGTTGGGCTTGTGCATTGGAAGCAATTGTGGTTGTCAACGCCATGCTTGACGGGTCACTGCGCCAAGCAGTTCGTGACAAAAAGGTTGCTGGTGCCGGATGGTATGCCAACATGCATGTCTTGACGATCCATGTCTCTGGCTGAAGTATTGCTTGGATTCCTGCGGAAGATTGGACGGTTCTCGAAGGATGGCCCCTGGTTTGGGAACAAGAAGATGCCGTAATATGCTGTGAATTTCAGTAGAGTTTCCCAGGCAAAGCCGTTCACAAAAGCAACATTCCACAACGCCAAGCAACTACGTGCCCTGCTTGCAGCTGGCAGAAGCGCTTGCGTAGAAAGTTAATCAGAAGCTAGTTGTTAGCAAAGTGAATGCCTGTCAGAAGATTTTGCGGAAGGAAGATACCAATTATTCAAAATCATGGGGAAGAAGCGCCACCAAGCACATTTAAGTTAAAAGTTCAGTTGCAACCTTCCATGAATGCACGCTCCGAGGACACAATTGCAGTGACTGAGTTCCGGCTCTCCACGGGAAGGATAATTTGCAAAGTGCCATTGATTAAGCAAATTTCGCCGGCGCTGCCAGGCGAATGTCCGCCGTCGCCAACCAGAGGAGGACGATATTTGAGCCGCAGAAAAAGGTGCTACCTTGCTTTGCGCAAGGCTCAAAGTGGCCGCAAAGGTGGGGATAAACCCAACCTCGCTCATGACTAGTGTTCTGGATTTTTCTAGGTTTCTTGATTGGTAATGAGGTTTGACTAAGTTGAAAACAACCAGCCAGCTATTGACTTCACACACCGACCTGATGCTCGGCAACCTACTTTGAAGTGGCCGCTGGCAAAATACGGACGTCAACAAGTTGAATATTCTTTTCAGTCCTTGCATATCTGTGAAAATGAGCTGCTTCAACTTTAGAATGCGTTTGCAGCTATCCCCAGCTGCTTGCAGACACCCTTGGCTGCCTAGCTCGCTGCCCGCGCACGTTCGGCTCAAAGCCACGTGGTAAAGTGATGACCCCATTTGATAACCAACGACTACTTAGCTTGAACGTGTATGGGGTTGCTACTTGGCTGGCCTGCGTAAATGGTTAGCAAGCCGGTAGCTGGCTGGGCTTGTTATTGGGTTGGGGCGGAAACGACGAACCACCTTGCTACTGCCCAGGGCGTCCATGTTGAGGTGTTGGCTTTGGGCATCAAAGGTGCGCTATGCGCAACGTCATGCTTTCAGGCATGGCGTGATGTGCAGTGCTCAAAGCGTTGAAGCATGCCACTGTTCTGAAACGTGTTGATTACGCGGTCGTCTTTGGAATGCAGTTGCTCCAGAAGGATGAGTGTTTGATAGCTAGCATAAGTGTCTTGCATGCTTTACCAGCAGCAAGCCATGTTTGCTTGTTGTGTTTCGAGAAGTCTTGAGCACGGCTCACAACATTTGAAGACACAGTTCTCCTCGCTTCGTGGCGCGGCATGTCCTCGTGATGGAAGGAGCCCGTGATCCTTTGTTCTGTGTCTTGCAGTCTCACCTTTGCGTACAGCCAGCAAGCCTGAAGAGGTTGGTGTGTTTCTGTTCTTGGGCATGATTCACAAGCTTGACTCCTTGGTGTCCAAACGCCCGATTTCTCAAGTGGTAGCCTGGTAGCGTGCTTGAGAAGAATGGCCGCAGTTGGTTACACAAATTGTCAGAACCCATTGATTCTTCCAGCCGCCACTTTGTAACGAGCAATGTAAAGTGGAAGCGAGCCGAGCCACCTGCCCTCCACTAGTGATTTCACGTTCTTCTGGCATGCAGTTCTATTAGGGTGTCGGAGTCTGAAAGTTGGAGGCAATGCAGAGGATCACCAACAGCAAGGTGGCTATGTGTCGAAATCAGCGGCCTCCGAATGGTTAGTTTGCCTTGTGCCTTTGTTTGCCAACCACCGCAAAAAAGCACTCTAGGGGTCCCAAATGCTATCCCTCAAAGTGAGAGGGTCGAAGTGACCTTTTTGGCAAGCCCTTCGATTTGTTCCGAAGGAGAGAGATCTGCGCCAGGCAGGGCTGTGACGCGAAACGATGAGCCTTTGGAGTGTGGGAAGTTTCGATACCCTGAATGTGGGGCCGGATTCAGATTAATTCAGCCCCCGAGAGGGGCTCAAAGTTGTTTCAAGGGCGGTTCCCTTTGGTGACTGCCTGCTTGCAGTGCTTGCAGGGATGGAGGAGCGTTTTGGTTTCGGAAGATTGTGGAAGAAACAGGGTGTTTAGCTAAAGCTAGTAATGTGCTTCAGCTACCAGCAGGTCTTCGCAAGCTCAGTTTGCTTTGGATGGGCAACATCCTGCAGTTGGTTGGTGCTTCGTCCCATAGAACTTCATCCATCCCTGGTGCTGAACTGCGATTTCCATGGCCAGTTTCCAAGGCCCGTTTCCAGGGCGCCCAGTCGTGCGCTTCTGTAGGAACAGATGGGGTCGCATTTTGTCCACATCAACAAGCATCGTTTCAACCGAGTGGCCTTGTTTATGTACAGTTTTATCAATGGCAATATATGATCCGTGCGAATCAATTGTTTCAGCCGTTTGGGCTTGATTAGAACTGGAACCTAGGACGCTACTTTCTGCATGAGAGAGTTGGACAAAGCATGCCCTGGAAAGTTGCCCTCGAAGAGGCTTTGCTTGAGGTTCGTATTTGGGCGGGGCGGAGCGCGGACAAGATTGTGCAAAAGGGGCTTGATGGTCCCGTTTCCTGGTTGGAATCTGGAAAAATGGGCATTTTGCAGATTTTTGGAAGAACGGCATGGGTTTGATTCCGGCCTTGTCCGAGCTGGACTGTTTTTGCCACATGTTGCCATTAGGCATTGCCGTTTGTTTGGATTTGCTATTTCGTTCTGGACTGCCGTTGCATTTTGCCCGGACGCATGTTTTTCCTCCTGTTTAATCCGCTCCCCCTATTAATAAATACGGCTCCCCCCCATTATAAATATATCCACCCAAAAATATATGTTTTTTTAATTGGGGTTTTTGGGGTTGGTTTTTTTTGCTTTTCCAACAATGTGAGGGTTCACATAGGATTTGGAGGAAATGGATTGAATTGTAAGGTCCGCGAGTAAGCGGTTTAATAAGGAAATTTGATGTATCATTCTACTTGTTTACCTGTTTACTGGTTGTTTGTTTGCAGCCAGGCAGGTTAATTAGCCAGCATGAACAACCTTTTGGGGAACCCACCAAAAGAACCCAACCTTTTGAGAAGCCAGCTTTTGGGGAAGCAACCTTTTGGGGAATTGAGGAACCCACCTTTTGAAAAGTGAGGCTGGAAGCTTGCTAAAAGTGCCCCTAATAAGAATTCCAAGACTTTAGTATTGGTTTAGTATTGGCGCAATGGAAAATCAATTGTGCAGATTAGTTTTGCTATTGCAACATTTCTAGTTCATTGCTTTTGCATTGGGGGGATACCTAGGAAGAGGCCTTGTTTGGGCTCAGCGTTGGCAACGCTGGCAAACAGTGCCAGCTTTCGGTCCGTCTCTCATCTGCTTAGGAAGGTGCTCTGGGAAACAGCCACTTGCCAAGTGTAGTTCCCAGTGCTGTGGCAAAGTTTCAGCTCCCGAACCTGCGTTTCTCACGCCACCTGTGAGGCTGTCCCATTTGCTTGGACTCCTTAGTCGGAGGCGGGGCATTGGGCTCTGAAGTTGGGTAGAAAGGAAACCTGATACTGCCGCTCAGCTTCGTTCCTTAGGCCAGATGTTGCAATTGGATTAGCCAATTGGAAGAATCGTCGATCGCCGTTGCCCTTGCCTCAACTAAGGGAAGGTGCGCGCATCGACAGGTCCAAGGCTGCACACCCGGCGTTTTCGCCTCTATGTTGCCCCCACTGCCTCCAGACAGGATGTTGGGAAAGCTGGTCCGACCAGGTTGCTGGAAGGCGTGCCACCATCTGTAAAGGCCAGTCGAGTTACCAGGATCGGAGGCCGTCGCCCAGGATTGCGCCTCCCAAATGCCATGTCCGGATCCAACCAGGCGCTTTCTTCCGGGGGTCCTCGCTTCTCTCTGCAAGCACCGAAATGTCAGGCCACTTCACTCTTCTTTGTTTCGTGCTGCACGGGGCGCCTGATTGCGGGTATGCCCAGATATGACCAGATATGCCCAGATATGCCCAGACATGCCCAGATATGCCCAGATATGCCTAGACGCAGATCTCCAAGCTATATAGGTGTCGCTTCTTTGCGACGATGATGGTAGCGCCAATTTGAGAATAGACAGGTCTCGGGACAACGACTGGCCGACCTACCTCGAGCATTTCCCTACAGAGCAGTTGGCCCTCATCGATTTGCCTGCTTCCGCTGCAAACTCACCTTGGGGCAAAAGCAAGCTTAATTATATTTCAAGCGGAGTAGTAACAAATGCATAATCATTCATCCTACCTGTCCCATGGTTCTTTTCGCTTTGGCAGACCACTTATACAACTATTTTGGTTTGTCCTTTTGCCTATCGCCTGTGTGGGATGACCGCTGAATGCTTGGGGGTCTTGGAAATCCGGGACCCGTGGCTCAAAGCTTGGGAGGGCTGAGGAGTCCAGGTCCGCTGTTGGATACCACCTGGACTGGCGCTCTTTCTAAGAATCATGTGTACAAATGTTCAAAAGGATGTTTGTCTGCAGCCTTGACTTATAAACGCCTCGGCCAAAAGCTGTTTGATTTAGAGGCTCGTGGGGAAGCTGGGCAGCTGCAAGAAACAACGTTCATGCCTGGCCATGCGTGAAAGTATCACGATCGGCCACAGCGATCTCGGGATTGAGGCTAGACACATTTTTGACCAAAGCAAGCGCAGGTTCAGCAACCGTGCTGCGTAGCCGAAGGGCAAGGGGCTTGGGCTGGGTGAAAGTTGGAAGATCCCAATCATCTAAAAATAATTTGACCGAAGAGGGGGCCGAGGCAAATTTGTTTGATTCTGCATTATGGTACTCTTATTGCGCAGTTCCATAACTGGAAATCGGTCAGCATCCTCCCTGCCCAGGCGATGTCACCTGCCCCGCGTGCCGCACGTGCTTCCACGGGCCCTGCGTGGGCATCGCCTAGCTTGGAAAGTTTTGGGAGGAACTCGAGCGGTCAGAGGTCGCTTTATTCCACTGTTCTGCTTTACCGGCCCAAAAGCGAGTTTCCTGTTGCGCAGGTCTCCAAATGGGCATTTGCGTTCTTGTGTTTGCTGACATTTGTTGAGACTAAGCTTCCTATGAAGGACCTCAGATGCCTCCAACAACAACTTTGGTGGATAGATGATCTGCTCGATATAGCGGGCTCAACGGACCCACACAAGCTAACAAGCTTCAGAGAATGACAGTTTCATGATATAGCAGGTGGAAAAGACATTCCCTTTCTTTATGCGACGTGTGAACTATAAACCGTCTACAGTACATGACTGAAGGGCAAGTGATCCTGCTATAAAGCAGCAGCTGCTGGGACGACGAGGGCCATGACCAATCTTCCACAGAGGCTGTAAGAGCAGCTTTAGTATCCCCATGCGTCAAACTGCTGTTTTCATGGGCCAGCCGACTGAGCAAAATTCAGATAGTGCGAGAGGTGAACCGTGGCTTTTTTGCCCGTGATGACTGGGCTTGTTGTGTCCAAATGCGCTTTTTCAGGTTTGCATGGGTGCATCTTCCATACCATGAGACAGTTTCCGGATCCGCCATCCATCCATCCAAGACTTTGCACAGGTCATGATTTGTTGTGTTTAGTTGCAGGCAGGGTCAAGTTTGTTTCATGAACAAATCCTCGCACATTGCAGGCCCAGATTGCTTGTTGGGTACCATTGTGGTCTTTCATAAGCCTTGTGACTGTCGAGTCCGCGATGACCAGGATCGGCCTTGTTTACAAACAAGTGTGAAGTCATTTGGCTCGGCTTGAGACGCAGCTTCAGTCGAGTGGGCAGCAGCTCCACCTCCAAAAACGGCCCAGGTGGCAAAGTATGCGATGAGCTCGGCGGAACAAGGGGCCCTGCCGCTGAAGCGCGCGCCCAAAACGCAGGGGCAGGGGAGAAAGGGATCATAGGCCCATAGGTGGTGCATCAGTGGGCGCTTTCCATGCTTCTTGAAGTTGTTGAATCTGGTTTAGGAGTGTGGTTTTCGAACCAATTGCACGCATGTTTTGCTAGTTTTGCTGATTACTGTGTTTCCCTTGTTGGCTAGAAGCCCTAGGTTTAAAGGTTCAGGCAACTTTCAAGAGTAGATGTTCCCACTTGGTTGGTTGGTTGGCTGGTTGGTTGGTTCGTCCGTGTGCTTGTGCTCTTGCTTGTTTGCCTGCCTGCCAGCCTGCCACTGCTTGGTTGGTTCGTTTTTACTGTTCCAATGTTTTGTGTGTTGTGTTTTGTGTGTGGTGTTTGTGTTTGTGTTTGTTACTTTGTTTTGTTTGTTGGTTCGTCCGTGTGCCTGTTTGATTGCGTGGTAGCTTGCCTGCCTGCCTGCCTGCCTGCTTGCTCGCTCGCTTGCTTGCTTGCTTGCCTCTGTGTGTTTTGTAGCTTGGATAAGTGGCAAGCCTCTCTACATGAAGTTGTCGACGCCCCCCCGGCCTTTTTCATAGCACTGCCGGATATGAGTCTTGAACACGGCAAGGGAGGGCGACGGGGTTCAGCTCGCTTCTGGGTTGGAGGCCTAATATTCCTTTGTTCTATCATGGTCGGATGCTTAGTGCTACTTGTAGGCGAAGTGGACCGCTCACAATGTGCATCCCACCGGGTTGGACCACTTGCTCAGCCATGGCAAAGGTAAAGCCACTTCATGGTGAAGCCGCCGCATGGTGCAAACGGCCTTCCTGGGTTCCTTGCAACAGCAGCGTGCAGTTGGATTTCGTCTTCCAAAATCTGCGTGAAAGGAGGGCAAGGAGTCAAAGTTAGCTGCTTGGTGCCTAAATTTGGCCCGCCCTGAATTTTCCTTGGCAGGCCGTGGCAAATAGCGCAAGCCCCCCCCCCCAACCGCATGATGCGAATTGCCGTGCCGCAAATTACCGGAACGACTTAGAACACACGACAGCTGATACCACCAATCGGGGGTCCTTCCGCGATAAGCGCTACAAGGAAACAAAGAAACCGCAACAAGGAAACAAAGGAACCGCGTTCAGCATCGAAATGGTTGACGGCGACAACAAGAGGAAAGAAGCAACGATTGCCAACGAGTATTTTCACTACGAATAGAAAGTGCAGTTGCACGACAAGCAACTATGAGGAAGAATTGAAGGGACATGAAGGGAATAACCAGACAAACTCAGAACAGGACAGATGCTACAGGCCCAAACAAGCAACCGATCCACAGTGGCTGTCAATTGAAACGAGAGCAAGGTGTCCGGAGCTCTTCTGCAAGTCAGTTTGGGCTGAGGAGGCGCTGAATCCTGCAAGTCATTGTGGTTTGATTCGGGGGGTGGGGGGGATGTTTGGGGTCCTGTGGGACTTTGGAAAGCCACAAGCAGGCAACGCATGCGAAACGTTGCATGCCCACAGAAAGGATTGCCAGTTGAAGGCCCCCAAACGGGTGATTCGCGGTTCAGCTAGCTGCCCTGAAGCAAAGGGCATAAAGGGTTGTGCACATCCTCCATTGAACACCGCGTTTACCAGCTGGCTTAGAGGCCCTTGTGAAACAGGTTATTCGGGATGTGTCACGCATCTTTGAGGATGCCCGACACGTCCAGTGCTTCTCGAAGGAAGGGAGGTCGTGGGGCTTTCTCAGAGAAACTCCGGCCATTAGTTTGGACACGCCTGAAGCCTTGTCGGACACATGTCTACCCCTTACTTGTCGGAAGAGAGTGATAGAGTGATAGGACAAGAGGATGATAGGGCTGTAGAAGAACAGGCCAATAGAGCAATCAACTGCGTTTCTGAATGTTTGGGAGCGGCTGATGCTTGTTGTCAGCTTGAGTTGAGCTTCTGCTTGGCTTCACGCGAGAAGGGGTTGAGTGAAAGCTTTGTTGCCAATGTGGTCACTGGATGTCATCGGCTTGCTTCGGCATGTTCTAAAGGGAAGAACAAATCCCACATCCATACCCATGCTCAACTTGGGCTGATGCACGCCAAGCCCCCACGGCTCATGTTCGCACAGCCAAACACAGAGGCGTATCAGATCTATGTGTGAGTTGATTGAGTTGGGAAATATGTTGTTTTTGAGAGTTTATAAACGTAAATCAAGAAACATACATGTATATTGCCGCTGCATTACAGGGACTGGCAGCAGTCATGTGCAGTACATCCAACGCTGCCGTGTCGACATGTGACAAGGGCATGGCACTTGCTGCTGGTTCATGTCAAGCTCGGCTTCATTTGATGTCATGGCTTCCCTAAGCCAGAAGCCACCAGAAACTTGGCCAGTGGCGAGGTCTTTGTGCCGCTGCTGGGGGACCAGCAGCCTCACTTCGAGAAGCTGCTCCGGTTACAGCAGGAGCTGAGCACCAGGCGGGGAGGTGCAGACCCGAGCCGAAGAGTGCGGCACCTGAGGGCTTCCACCTCGAGTGGATCGATGGGATTGGAAATTCTAATGTGATTTGTCACAATCACGTCGCGAGTCAGCAGCTTTCTTTTGGAATTTGTTGCCTTACAGGCTGGGTGTCAGTTTGTTTGAGTGGTGATGCTGAAGAGAGGACTTTGCATTCAATGCACCACTAGGACGGTGATCCGGAAAGGACCGATTTGCTTGTTCCCTCGGGAGCCGCCCAAATTCAGTGCGAATGTGTTACCCAACCAAAGGGGTTGACATCTGCAATCCGCCAATCCCCCCCCCCCGCGGCAGGAAGACAGCCGATGCCATGTCGCCTCGGACGCAGGAGGCGCCGCACTCTTGTGGGTTCGCTTTGTGAGGGTACTGTACCCTTTTCGGGGTTGATGGAAAGGCAAACCAAAAGGGCAGCCACATTTGAGGTGTCCCCGCAAACACAGCCACACACCGAAAGGAAGGAGAATAGTCACCTTTCCCCGACTCATTGAGATGAGACACACGCACGCAGAGATTCCGTTCATGCCACACCGGAGTCATGCAGCAATGCTTGCAGATCAAACCAGCACAATTGACCCCCGCTTCCCACCGACAAGCCCCCTTGTGGATTTATAGTTGGTGCTCCTTTTTAGAGGGCATCCTTTACTTTGGACAACGACCCCTAAATAAGTTTCAAATTAATTCCTCGCCGGGCTGGTTTGCATGCATGTCCACTGCTGTGCCATCAGAATGTGGAAATGTGACAAAATACACTCCCCCCCCAAAATTGTTGTTTTCCTTATGGAGTCCGTTTATAACCGACCTGAGAAGGATGCCCTCAACAAGAAACCATAGTAGCCAACCTGGGACTGCACTTCGGCCCCCTGGTGCCGAAAGCGCGCAGTGAGACCATGGCCGGTGCGCCATGACATCGCCCTTTGAGAGCTGTTTCGTCACTGCATCGCCTTTGGCAGGCAAGAGCACTTAGGTCAAGACTTAGGTTCAGCTGTCCAGCAAAACCCGCGATGAACATTCTACGCGTCGCAAAGCAGAGGACAATGAGTCTGCAAGATTTTGCGCCAACCTTTTGTCTTACCCTAGGGGTCCTGAGCTCGAGTTGTTCAAAGTCAGTCAGTATTCATCGCCGGACACGCAAGCGGCGCATGTTTCCCCAGCTTCACCTCGCTGGTCGCTGGCCATTTACTGCATCGCCACAATTGTCATGGGCTGCGTGGATGCGGTCTTTGGTAGGTACCAACTTGGGCAAGTATATAAACACGGCTAAGTCGTTGTTCGTGGCCCTGCGCGATTTGGCTTTTAAAACGCGCAACCATCACAGCAAATGGCTGAAAGGCTCGCCTGCCACCCGCGCGTCAAACGCCAGTTTTATCGCAAAGCCAGGTTCATTGGTAATTCCTGTATATAAGTGCTTCAAAGTCGATGCCCCACTGGGAAAGAGCGTTGCAAATTCAGAGGCCCGAAAAACAAACCGACGAACACTATGTGTTGATTTGTTATTGTGGAACCAGCAGCTAAACAGATCACGGCCTCAAGTCGCTGCGCAGCAGGCCAACAGCAGTCCACATACAGCCCGCTGTGTTACACAGGAACATGCTAGAGTACACATACTCCCAAATGCGGGGGCTCGCCGCTTGCATGGAGGGGTAGACGGTGATGCCATTGAACTGGCTAATGTTCGAGAGTGGCAATGGCAGCGAAAGAAACATAGACTGCAAGGGTCCCCATCATGCAAACTGAGTAGTCAGTGCGTGTGTGTATACTGATGTATGTGACGTGTTTGTATATGTGCACTCGCGCCTTGGGGCCCCAGTGCGGTCTCCACCTGCTGTGGGTTTGCGCGTGCAACTGCATATGGTCCGAACGGTAACCCCCCCCTGAAGAAGCTGCAAAATGAGCATTTTACACAAGGCCGTCTACGACGACTCAGGCATACACAAGGCCAGAAATGCTAGTCTTTGGCCAATGACTGGATTCTGCATGGGCATTTCAGATGGTTCAGGAGCTGTTCGTACACCCCGCCAGGCTGCTTCATGTCAAACCTGCCAGGCACTGCGGCCCTACGGCATTCGCGCTTGCCCCCGCTGTAAGGCGATGATCCAGAAACAGGCCGGAAACGGGCAACGACGAAGCTGTTGACAGAAACATCCGCCACAAACCTCATTCCCTCAGAAGGAAAGTGTGTCCCCAGAACAGAAGTGTGCTTTTGTTTGCAGAGGGGTGTCCAAGCAGGTGGGAAGGGGTTGCCAGCTCGTTTAGGGAATATATTTCGAGGAAGGCGTGTTCCTTCCTGTGCATGTGTTACTTGAAACGGGCGTTGTGTCCGTTTCAAGCCTTTATCCGTTGTTTGTTTTTGCGGTGCAGGCGGTGTGGGGTTCTCGTTTGCCGTGGGCTTTGTCACGGCGGAGTCCCCACTTCTGGAGGGTAACGCTGAGGAGAGAAAAATACGTAAAAGACGTCAGTCTGCAGAACCTCGCAGAGAGCCCTTGACCCCTTCGCAGAACCCCCCTCCCTTCGCAGAACCCTCTTAAAGACCTGCACAGTAGCATGTTACACACATATCCCATGTTTGGAGTGAGTGTTGTGCGGGTTGTGTTTGCGATTTGGCATGGACATGCTTGATTTGAACTTTCTTTGACATTGGCATTGGGCCTACATGAGTTTCAGTGTTCCGTTTACTCAGTGCTTGGCTTGATTTGCGTTCAGTGCAAATGTGTTCTCTGAGTTCGTTTGATGCGTTGCTTGATTGTCCGATAGCGGGCAGCTTGGAGTTGTGCCGGTGGTTGCTTTTGGGGGCCCTGGCTAGCTGCTTCGCATTTGGTCCGAGCATCGGGCTAATACTCCAATTTCATCATGCAACCTGCAATTGCCTCAAAGCATGATGCATGGCACTCTAGAGCGCTAAATTCAAAGCCACAAGTCAAGCCTGGCTTCGCCCTTCGCAGAAAAACTCGCAGTTCAAAATTCTGGCCACACCTGAGATCGTCACACGTGTCACACAGATGGCAACTGCCTGGCGTGCCGCGCTCCGAGTTGTGGAGTGCAGGCGGATGGCCTCTTCACAGGCTGCGACAAGATGACCTGCCGCTGCGGGTGCATGTTCTGCTTCCAGTGCGGCCAAGAGGTGCGGCAGCCACGAAGGTCGACGAGAGGCATTCTAGGAAGCACTAGAGCTCCTGTGGTGCCCTTGTTTTAAGCCCAGATAGGGCTGTCGGTTAGACTTTGGGAATCTTAAAGACCTAACATTTAACAGGGTGCCATTGTTTCCAGGGCACCGGGTCTGGGATAGTATATATATATATATATACATATATTTATATATACAGATACTTGTGATGGCGAAGCACCAGTGAGAAGCCGAAGGATTTCATATTGACGTGTCTGGTTCTAACTTAATTGGCAGGCTTGATGTGCTGCTCGATGGTCGCGTGTTTCTCGATTGGCTCACAGACACTTAGGAACGTACTGTGCTGAGTCTTAGCAATTTGTTCGCTTTGGTGCGCTGTTGGTTTGCTTATGCTTGCTATCACTCGCGCATTGGGGCATTGTTTCATACATGCTGATGTTTCAACCACGCTCAAACTTCTGATAGACGACACCTAGAGCGGGAAAAGCGTTTTATTGAATTGAGTAAGTTGCGCGCGTTTGTCTGTAGCACGGACTGAGATAATTACAGGGCTAATCAAGATGCACCTTGCTACGTCAGCGGTTATTTGCAACCCAACAGGGCTACTCAAATTGCCCTCGTGACCTAAGAGTATGTTTGTGGTGTCCACGAGCGCTACCTTTGCGGTTTTGCCCCCACCCTTTTGTTCAGAAAACCACTCCATGTGTGATGCTGTCAGGCATTCAAAGTCTTGTCACATATTCATCGAGAAGGATGGGTTAAGTTGGATGCAGGTGTCGCGATCTGCTGGCTTTGAAGCCAGTGCCTTCAGTTGACTCACAGCCGCAATGTCACACGTGTGAGAAGGTTGTCCTACCCCACGCTAGGGTGTCCCACTTCGGGAGAGGAGATTCCTGAAATTGAGTGTTCGAAATATCCACGGAAGATTAGCTGTCTAACGCATAACAACCCTTGCAGGAATGTCAATGCGAGAACAAATGGCTGCTTTTGATTTCCGGTTTCCGGTGCGAAGAGCAAGTTGCCCTTTTGATCGGCGCGATCCCCGGTATGTCGTATTTTCCCTTCAAGTGAAGACATGGTTCTTCTATCCCCTGGCCATTCGCTTCTCGCGTGCCAGGCCAGAGGGGGTGTGGCTCGTTGCCGTTGCGTTGGCGCACACCACGCCTTCATCCCGCAGAGCGTGGCTGGGGTCCTCAGAGATCAACGAATGGCTGGGTCCAAGGAAAGAATGTCAAACGTGGCTGTACTTCGGGACCCTGTGTATATCCACAGGCTTTCCCAGTCGGATTATATACATTGAACTCAACATCAGCAGGAGAGGGATTTGGCTGGGTGTGGTCTTTTGTTCAGTGTGTTCATCACCATATCACCGTACCACGCGAAAGCAAGTGGCATCAATCCTCAGGTTCTACTGGATGGGATGGCTACATGCCACGTCTTTAGCTAGACTGAGAGAGCCAGCCACGAATATATTCCCATACAGCCTTGTTTCTCATCGTGATTGTGCTCCAATATCCCATTTTCAAAAGCCTAGCAGAAGCTGAAGTCAATTAGGTTCCCATTCAACTCACTAGTGGTGCAAGACACTGCTGAACTAAATCCTGCTGCATTCCCGCGGGTTTGAAAGATGAAAGGGTTTGCGTGTGTGGCTCCATAACGCGCCATGTTCAAACCACTACTGGTTTGTGTGTGTGTGTGCGGAGTGGCAGAATACCCTGTCACCACAATGACTTACGCAGGGGGACGTGGCGTGCAATCAGGAACCACGTCCAACGAAGCTACCTGATTGCACGGGAAGCAGAGCCTGATCAGCTCTGTGTACCTGCGAGTGATACAATGTCCTTTTGGCCCGCTGTTTCTCTCGCTGTAAGTGCTTCTTGTTGCTTCTGTAGCGTTTTCGATTCTACCGGAAAGCCAAGCGTCTTGCGAGCCGAAACTGATCCTACTCGAGACTCATCAGTTGTACTCGAAAGATTAGCACCCTCCCTTGGGAGTTGAAGTGTGTGTGTGTGTGTGTCTCATTTGGTCGGGCCTTGGTAGCTGTCATAGGATTTTGCGGCCATGCGCTCATCACAGGCATGCGCCCAAAATGCACGCAAGTCAACGCGTGCCTCAGCAAGCTTGGCTTGGGCTTCCCATCAATTGCTTGCACGCCCCGGCAGGCATGTACATCAAGCAGCGCATGCATGCAGGCATGCAAAATGTGTATTTTTATTTCCTTAATGTGCCCGATCGGGATGTGTTGCATGGCAACTTCACATGTGGCTGGACTGACCCGTCCGAGAAGGATGTGCTCGAAGGCTTTTTTCCCCCGCCCGCTCTTCAATGAGGGCTTGCTATAACTCTACTTGGAATGCTGGGTGGGCCACTTCAGGCCCCACCATGACCGGCATCGTCCGTTGCCGATCCCCAGCACCGGAGCAGAGGGCAGTGAACAATCCCAGCGGCAAGTTTGTAGACCCTTGCCCGTTTGGGGGATTCTGGGTTGTAGGCCTGGCCCAGGGTAGAGTTTCGATCCGCCTTTCCTCAGGTCCTTGCCAGTGAGCCGCTGACGCCGATCTCGGGCTTCAGCCAAACTCCCAAAGAACTTCAGTCGCAAAATGCTGGTTAGTAGTTAGATGGGAGGGTGCTGACAGAGGGGGCAATTCAAGAGCTTTGAAGGAACTTTGTTTGCACGATCCATGGTCGGCGGTCGGGGTTCAATTTACACATTTATTGTTATGCCTCAGGCCTTTCACCCAGAATAACCTCCTGCGCCATGAAGGTGGAGGTTCACTTGCCCAGTGGAGCTGCTTGCTCTGTAGAAGTTGCACCGGAGACGCCCGTCAGCGAGCTGAAGGCTGCCGCGCAGCAGCATTTCCAGCGCCTCTTGAAGCTCACGGCAAACGGCCAGCAGCTCGATTTGATGGCCACGCTGAGTGAGGCCGGGGTGCGAGATGGGGACGTGGTGGCTGCGGTTGCGCACCTTGGCAAACTGGCTGCCACTGATCACGCCTTTGCTTTGCATGGGCATGGGGAGAAGGTTGTGACCTGGGGTGATCCAAAATACGGCGGAGACAGTAGCCAGGTGCAAGAGGAGCTGAGGAACGTCCAGCACATCCAAGCAACTGACAGTGCTTTTGCTGCCATGCTTGAACCTGGGGCTGTTGTGACCTGGGGCTATCCAGAATGTGGCGGAGACAGCAGCCAGGTGCAAGAGCAGCTGACAAACGTCCTGCAGATTCAAGCAACTCTTCGTGCCTTTGCGGCCATTCTTGAATCTGGGGCCGTTGTGACCTGGGGTGATCCAGGTTGGGGCGGAGACAGCAGCCAGGTGCAAGAGCAGCTGAGGAACGTCCAGCACGTCCAAGCAACTGACAGAGCTTTTGCTGCCATTCTTGGATCTGGGGCTGTTGTGACTTGGGGCAATCCAGCATTCGGCGGAGACAGCAGCCATGTTCAAGAGCAGCTGAGGAACGTCCAGTGCATCCAAGCAACTGCCTACGGTGCTTTTGCTGCCATTCTTGAATCTGGGGCTGTTGTGACCTGGGGCGATCCAGACTGGGGCGGAGACAGTAGCCAGGTGCAAGAGAAGCTGAGGAACGTCAAGCACATCCAGGCAACTAGTGGTGCTTTTGCTGCCATGCTTGAACCTGGGGCTGTTGTGACCTGGGGCTATCCAGAATGTGGCGGAGACAGCAGCCAGGTGCAAGAGCAGCTGAGGAACGTGCAGCACATCCAAGCAACTAGTGGTGCTTTTGCTGCCATTCTTGAATCTGGGGCTGTTGTGACCTGGGGAAGTTCAGAATACGGCGGAGACAGTAGCCAGGTGCAAGAGAAGCTGAGGAACGTCAAGCACATCCGAGCAACTGACAGTGCTTTTGCTGCAATTCGTGAATCCGGGGCTGTTGTGACCTGGGGCAATGAAGAAGGTGGCGGAGACAGCAGCGAGGTGCAAGAGCACCTGAGGAACGTGCAGCACATCCAAGCAACTAGTGGTGCTTTTGCTGCAAGGGCTGTTGTGACCTGGAGTCATTCACTGTATGGTGGAGACAGCAGCCATGTTCAAGAGCAGCTGAGGAACGTCCAGTGCATCCAAGCAACTGCTAACGGTGCGTTTGCTGCCATTCTTGAATCTGGGACTGTAGTGGTCTGGCATTATTCACTACACGGCGGAGTCAGCAGCCAGGTCTTGCAGCTGGTTTGAACATGGGTTGTAAGATGGACGGCGCAAGTGCTGAGAACTATTTGTGAACTCCACAGTTGGTGTTTGCTTCGAAAGTGTTGCTTAGAGTCCGGGTGTGGGTTGAAACCACCAGCACATCGCAACGATGCGCGTCATGGTAAGTCGTCCACATGCTCAAACTCCGTGGCCTCCTGTTTAGCAAAACATGCGTATGCCACCCCAATGAGGCCCAGAGTGGGCTGCACAAACTTACCAATTGAATTGTCTCTAGAGGGGATGTGGAATTGACGCAACAGAGAGTCATAAACAACTTGCTTAACGCATTTAGATAGCATTTACATTCGGGTAAACCATAAATGCAGTGAATGCAGTATAATAATTACATGAGCCGAATCTACCACAAGGGGCTTTCCACGCAAGCCAACGACCGCAGCCGCCCGCTGATGTTTGAGGAAGCCTTTTGAGTAGATTAATAATTCTTGGCTTGTATAGTAAATGGAATTGAAAAGGGGGGACCCCTGGAACTCCATTTGTGATCCTATTTTCCACTTGGCGGGGATGGCTCTATCCAGAACCCCCACCCCGTCCCGCTTAGCAGGCACCATGGACAACCAACGTGAAGCCAATCAAGATGGTTTTCAGTCCCCCATTTCACCAACCACTATATATTATATCACTACAAATGGGTACAACCCGGTTCCCCCTCTCGCTGGGTCCCGGTTGGATGGTTCCCCGCATTGTTTGAGCAGGTTCTGGAGAACTACCAGGGTGCCTGGGGTGCAGCCCCGGTGGACATGGACCTTACCAAGAGGCGGCCATGAAACGGGAGGGATGTATTTGTTGACACGGGTCATTATTTCAGAGCTCTTTCTTTTGGGTTCAAGTCAGACACTGGTTAAGGTGGTTTCTCTTGAACCTACCACTGAAGGTGGTGAAATCATGGGCCTGAATTTCAGGGTCCTTTTTTTTGGGTGCTCAGAGAGAACCAAACGGACAACCTTTGCAACGGTGGCACTTGAGAAAATCAAAGCAAAAAAGGCAATGGCAAGTCCCACAAAGGGTGTCGATTACTCCCGGCATTTGATTTCATGTTGCGCGGGAATCGAAGCCTGGAAGATGTCATACTCATAGGCAAGCTCTGTGCAAGGACAGTGTGCCAGTGGTCAATGGGCTCTTCTCAGTGAGTCTCATGTTGCAAGATTGCCGTTGTGCTTGTTGGTTCGCGAGGGTTCGGCAGTTCGGCGTACAATAAGCCCACACGACAATGTTGGTGCGAATCGCCAATCGACATGCCTTGCATAGTGGTCTCCAAGCACTGCAGTTGCAAGTGCCTGCGCCAGCTAGCTTGCAATGCGGGGTGTTGAAGCGTCGCGTCGTTCGCTTGCGGTGCTTGCAGTGGGGAAGTGAGCGAACCAAAAGTCCATGGCTTTGCTGGCGGGTGGGGTGGGGTGGGGTTGGGGTGCTTTCGTCCTTTGTCACTTGCGCACGCTAGTGCTGCTACACTTGAGACGGGGGCCGGGGGCCAGCGAGGAAATAACAGACATACTGTTGTTTATTTCCGGGAGGTGGGAAACAATAAAGATGCTTGTCTTTGTGTTTAAGGGAGGGGGCACATTTTCACCTCCTTTGGCGCTGCTCATGCTAACGCTGCTACACTTGAGCAAGTCAATGCAGCAACTAATCTAGCGCATGCTGGTGGGGGGCGGGCAGGGAGAGATATGTTTGTGTCCATTGGACTGGGAGGTGCGTGGAGCCATCACACATGTCGAGTTACGTGTAGCAGACCTGCAAACCTAAACCGCAGGCTGGGGTGCTTTCTTGGTTTCCTAAGCATCGTGAACACATTGTTTAATTTTTCGAAGCCAGGTTTCGGCCCCTTCGGTTGCCAAAGCATAGAAGACTGAAGCATACTCTCTTGGTTTCCGGAGCATGGTTTCGCAAGCATAGTTTCCGAATCAACTATATACAATAACGGGAGGGTATAATCATGCGACTTTGACCTGCCAGTTGCCCTTTCTCCTCCCCAAATCTCCCGAACTACCCCCAGCCTTGTCCGAGAAAAAAAAGGGGGGACACTTGGGATCTTTGAAGCTACAAAGAAACCAACGCTTCCCTGCGTCAAAAGACATGTCAGGCAATTACCCCAAAACTGGGGAGAACATAGGAGGCTTGCAAGAAGGTGATGCCTATAGTTGCTTCCTCCTTGTGTTCACCATTCTCCGGGGGTAATTATTCAACTTCACACGGAGCGTCTTTGGTACTACTTGCAATAAGTGGATTTGTTTCTCACACCTTGATCTCGTATGATCCAGAATAGATTCGTTTTTGGCTTGTTTCTCATTTTCTGAGCCCCACCCCCCCATTATTCAGCCGAATTTTGGAGGAGTTAGGCCCCCCAGCCCCGCCGCCCCCCCACCGCCCATCGTGCAGGTCCCGGGGCCGCCTCAGCCCCGTTGCGGTGGCGCGACTCCAGCGGGAGGCCAAAGTCCTTGCGAAGGCCTGCGGAGCAGTGGGCGTCAGCCCAATATTTTCTCGGGTCAGTTTTTTTTTGCCAGACCTCCTATTCAAGTTTTCTCGTTTGTGATCATCAAACATGGTGTTCAGGTTGGGGTGCAAGAATTCAGGAAGAAGTGTCCGCTCTTTTTGTCCCATGGCCAGTGGTTCCTACCGGTTTACCCGATTTTGCCCATAGGTTGAGGCCACCGAGCCACCAGAGCTTATTTGGCAACTTCAGACCAGACCTTTTAAAGGCATGTCCTTCTACCATCCCCACACCCGAAAAGGGTCCGAAAATGGGGCAGGACGATGCGGGACATCCAAACATGTAATTTGCATTTTGAAGGATTTCCTGAAGCTGGTCCCCCCCCTCCCTCTTTTACATCTGCTCCCCCCCCCCTTCCCTCTTTTTTTGAAGTCAGTGGATTGCCGTTGCGTTGATTGCTCGCTACGCCTTTCTGGTTGGGCAGCGCTTGTTTTTTTTTGTTGGAGTTGCATTCCTTGCACTATGAAGCGTGATGCAGCAAGCAGACAGAAGAAGACCATAGAAGATCATGGAAGAACCTATCAGACCCGAATATGATCCAATATGTGGCATGGTATGGAATTGCCTTCTTTGGCGTCCTCTGGCATGAATCGTCTTGCGCCAATCTTGAATTGTGTGGAGCAGTTCAGAGTAGCTTTGCCTAGTTTCACATCATGTGCAATCTCCCCAAGTGCTACTCAAGCACTTGAAAAATGCGATATTATATTCTCATTAAATTGTAACCTGGATATATGTACCTTGCTGATGGGTCCACCATGGCAATCCCCATGCAAATGATGTCCGCCCGTCACTGAGTCACTGAGTCACGGAGTCCAAGTGCCCAGCTCCCAGCTGGTGAAATTCCTTTCCACACGTGCGCGTTTTGGAATGATATTATTTTAAGGGTACCGTTCCCATTCTTTGCAGGGATCCTTCTTTCTAAGCCTCCGGAAACCCGATCGGGAAAACGGCTGGTTATTGAAAATAACGATGGTTGAAACGAATGAATCAGCCCCAGAAATGTGCCAGGATCCTCCTCCCCTGGTCAGGGTTGCCCGCCGCAAGCTCAACGCGGGTGGGCAAAACCGCGTGCCTTTAGCTTTTGTCACATTGACTCTTGCTGGCGCGGTAGGGAATGAGACACGGAATGAACCCAGGGGCCCCAAATAAAGGGAACCACCAGCAAGGGATGGTTTGCACGGGTCATTTCCCCATCTGAGCACCAGCAAGGACTTGACCGGCCTCCATCTTTCCTTTGCACCCCCAGAGCCCTGCATTCGATTTAAGAGAACCTTGTCAGACCCTTGGTCCCAGGGAACCGTGCATCACCTGGAGCAGGGCACATCTTGCTAGTTGCTGCGCTCCAAGGGATTTGTCCGGCTTGTGCCTACGTGTTTGGAGTGATAGGCAATGTGAAGGAGATGATTGGCTGCCTTTTTTTTGTCTGAAGCCAGGCGTGACTTGCTATGTGGCTAAATGTTTGCTTGTGATGGAACTGTGAGTGGATGACTCTTTGAGCCTGAACTCATCCAAGCCTCAGTGACTCAATCAAGCGTGGTGCGTTCTTGATAGGTTTCATTCACATTCTGAATGTAGCTCATACATTCAGCCACTCATGTGCAATTTGCAACACCAGTGGATGAGGAAGATGGCTGACCCCGTCAGCTATGCTTGGCCTCATGTGTCTATTGCTTGTAGTGTTGCATCACCCTCTTTGCAACATCTGATCCCATGGGTCACAATTAGTCTGCAACATCCAAATGATCATGTTCTGGCGAGACCCCATCCACTCACTGACGTGAGGAACCTTGTCTTCCACGGCCATGAAGTTAAATCAGGAGCCACCTCAAGAGTGATTGGTGAACATGAATCCCCACCCAAATGATGTCCACCAAAGGGTCCCTCATTAAAATGTATACCCACATGGGTATTTTAGTCGCCGCCCGCGTTTGCCCCTCAACGAAATCCCCCCCCCCCCCTCTTCCCCCACGGCCAAGATCGCTCCAATCAGAGCTGGCACTTCTTGCTGGGCCCCGGGCCACTGGACACGCCCTTCGCCGGCGGCCTCTACTGGGGAGAGATGGAGATGCCGAAGGACCATGGACAGACATCTCTCCATGTAGGTATATGTATAATATATAATATAGTATTCATATATATATAGGTGTATATATATATATTATATAATAGGTGTCTATATATAATATAGGATATATATGGTAGAGGTCTGGCACCCCCCCCCCCTCCCCCGCCATGGTCATGGTAGCCTTAAATAGGGCCACACCCCCTCCTCCCCCTGTGGGCCCGCTGGTTTTGCAGGTTATGGTCATCTTGCAAAAGGCCTCTCCCCCCCCCTGTGAGGCCAAGGCTTCGAGAGTCGTACCCCGGTCGGCGAGCGGACACCCCGCCCCCCCTCCCCCCAGGTGGGGGGGGATACCATTGGGGGGGGGCCGCTCGCCGACCGGAACCATACATATATTATATGTATATACCATGGTCAAAACTGTTTCTTGTAAGTTGACTAGGAGCCCTCTTGGTGGCGAGTTTCCCAAGATTGGGTTGCTGAACGGCCCAAAGTAATACGGATGTTGGGACCATATACGTGTATATATTTGTAGAGTTCATATATATATATATATATATATACATATATATACATATGGGCCAGACCCTCAAAAAAAAGACACCCAAATGGAATTGAGGTATAACATATCATACTGCAAACCCATTTGCCCATTCCATCAAGGGGCCTAACACCATCCCGGCGGATCTCCCGCTTTGAGCACATGTGGGCATTTCCTCATATAGGAGGCCGCCTGGTTGAATGGCAAACCTGTGATCTGCCGCCCAAATTGCTGCGCGGGGCCAACCCGTGCTTTGGGTCTTCGGATGGCGAAGTTTTGGGACTTTTGGAGGGCTAAGCTCCGACTAGGGCCCAGCTTGCAAACTCGGATAAGGGAAAGTGAACCCTTAAAATTCTAAACCTAACCCTAAAAGCCCCAAACCTAAACCCTTAAACCTAAAACCCAGAACCTAGACCCTACACTTAACCCGTAAGCTTAAACCCTAATCCCAACAGGCCCTGTGGGGCGCAACGCATGGATTGAGGTTAACATTTGCCCAAATCTACGGTCTCCAAAGCAATTTTAGCCCGAAAGCTGGCCTCGAAGCTTTGCTTGAGGTTTGTTTGTGCCAGGGGTGGGCGACAAGACTGGGCACCAAAGGGGCCCTTACGTTCCTCTTTTCCCATTAGAACATAGGTGGGGGGTCTACGCGTGCATGCTCACATTTTGTTTTTTGAAATCGGCAGGCGGGGGGAATTCCCGCCCTGTCCTGTTTTACCGGACTTTGCCATGACGCATCCTTTGCTGATTGTTTAGACTTGCATTTCGACATTCCTGGTTTGTTCGGCTGGACTGGCTTGCCACCGACTCTTTTTGCATTTTTCCCGGACGCGTGATTTCAGCCTGCTTGGATTTGCAATATCGATGCTTCTGGTTCACGTGCATCGGAAGGGGATACCTATGAAGAAAATTTGTGTGAAGCGCACTTCTGGCAAACAAGGGTCAGCTTTCGGTACGCCCTCTCTCCAACATTCCAGGGTAGACTAAATATCTAAATATGAAGCAGAACAAGTTATACATACGTACCTACATACATACATACATGCATACATGCATACATGCATACATACATACACACACATACATACATACATACATACATGCATACCTACATACCTACATACCTACATACCTACATACCTACATACCTACATACCTACATACCTACATACCTACATACCTACATACCTACATACCTACATACCTACATACCTACATACCTACATACCTACATACCTACATACATACCTACATACCTACATACCTACATACCTACATACCTACATACCTACATACCTACCTACCTACCTACCTACCTACCTACCTACCTACCTACCTACCTACCTACATGCCTACATACCTACATACCTACATACCTACATACCTACATACCTACATACCTACATACCTACATGTTTATATGTATATACGTGTGCATATATATATATATATATAACTGTCCAGTGTACCCCAGATGTGGGCCAAGAGGTGTGCTGCCTGCAGATGGCATATTTGGCCACATGTTTCGAGGTGCTGAACCACCAGCGGTGTGTGTGTGTGTGGTGCCGAATGCCCGACAAATACTCGCATTGGACGAAAGGATTCCAGGGCTTAACTCTTTTCGGGCCATATGATCCGTGTGGCTGAGCCTAAATGGGCTGTTGAATATGAAGATAACTTGAGTGGCACGTGAACTTCTACATTTGTACATTGTACAGACTGCATCGTACTCTCACAGCTGTTCCTTTCAGATGATTACCTGCTAGCTTAGTTCTATGTGGACCTCATTGAGTTGTTTCCATTTGGTGAACAGGCAGCCACAGATTCAAGAGAAGCCATCCTGTGAAGGTGCCCGGAATTGCTTTTACATTGAAGCGCCTGCAAGACCCATGTTCTGCCCTTCTGCAGCTGGCGGCAAGGCCGCACAATGATTCGCAGCCTAAAAGTGACCAGTGGCTACTTTGCTGCTACAGCTTCCCATGCTGGAATTCTTGCTCGAGCAGGGAGTGCTCTTCGCCAGGACTACCCGTACGACCCTCCCCTGGTTCGCTTTCGCACGCCCAATGGCCGATTCAAGGCGCTGTCGCCTGTGCTGAGGGGACCTGAAGTGGCGTTTACGGGCCAGGGGCGGGGCCTTGCAATTGCCCCGTGCTTTGACCTTAAACTTATCAACTCAATCTCGGGGCCCGCCGATTTTGTTTTTTAAGCAGGCCGGCTTTGGAGAAGCAAGTGGGCAGATCGGACCATGACTCGTATCTCAGTGCTGCAGTTGCTCAGGGTGAGCTTGGAAGATTTGGAGAGCTGCAGTTTTGGCAGCGGGAAGGCTACCCACAGGAGGAAGGGAGAAACGGACGAGAGCGACAGAGCGAGAGAGAGAGAGAAAGAGAAACTGGGAGCAAGAGAGAGCGAGAGGAGGGAGCGAAGGTGCGAGGGAGGGAGGGAGGGAAAAAGCAAAGCTGCCAGGTTGACACCTGGCTTTGCCGGACCCAGCTGGATTACCACCCAGAGGCAGTGTGTCAACTGCTGATAAAACCGTTTGGTTTTCCTTCTGCCAGTGGTTCGACGTCATTACAGGCCAGTCTTATTGAAGCCATGGGTAGAATTTGCAACTAAACGTTCGATCAAAAGCGAACCTCACTTTGCCTCGTGCTTTTGCAATGGGCCTTTCAGCAGCATGCCTGTTGCGCAACCAACTATTTTTGTTGGTTGATCTTCTGCAGGCCTTTGCCATGCGTAAGTTTTGGCAGCCGTGTTGTCCTAGGTGGACGGCCGTGGGTACAGTGTATGGTTTGCCGCGGTCAAGAAGCTGGGTTCGAAGATCTTGCGTTGCTACGCAGGAACCAGCTGCTTTTGTTGCCCAAATCTTGCCACACGCAGCTCAGCCAGGGCTGGCAGCCTGCCTGGACCATCAGCGGCCTTTTGCTGGCCCTCTTGGCGCTGCTTTGCACGGAGCTCAATCTGCTGTCAAAGGGCCTTTGCTTACTTTGAATGTATGAGTTTAGTTCGCCATGATGTTGGTCAAGCTCGGTTGGAGCCATGACTTCCTGTTTGTGGGGACGCGAGCATTTTTTGAATGTCACATTTTGCTCGAGGAAGTGGTGCTCACCCCAGGATGCAATTAAACAAGCCTCCACATTATGTGGGGTGTGCGTGTGTGTGTGTGTGTGTGTGTGTGTGTGTGTGCCCGTGAACTTGGGACTGCCAGCTCTTTATTGTGGCAACTCAGCGCACACAAGGATAATGCACAGTCCAATCGGGACCGCAAGGGCCAAACTTCGGAGTTGATGCATCGAAGTGGAGAGGGCGAACCGTTGGATCAATTGGCCAATCTGCTGAATTTTGCCACATTAGTCAGAAAGAGGATTCTGACAGCTCTCCAATTGGCATAGTTGAACGGCAAGAAAGTTTGCTGGCGGCAGCAACATCATTTCAAGTCATTATGAGACAGTATACATGGGAAACAGGTGAAAGAGGGCCAACAGTGGAGGTGTTCTGCAATGCCAGCAAGCTTCACCCCTTGCGTTTGCAGACTGGACAGGACGCATAGAGGGAGGTAAAGTTTCGCGGGAGCTCAACGGATGAGAATCATGAAGTTCCAGTTGGTTCACCACGGAAGGAAGGCTCATCGATTTTGTCATTTGCAGATCACTTGAGTTCCAGCACGGGCTTGCAGGGGTTTGGCGGCGGATGCGCGCCAAAAGCAGGCCCTTGTACTCGTCGCCCTCCGCCACGGTTTGAGTCTAGTGCTGATTGATCTAAATGCCCGTGATCCATTGTTGGCAGTTTGTCAGCTTTGCGAAAGATTTTTTTTGAGAAGGTCAGCACATTGGAGGTTGTGGTGAGGCTTTTGTCGGAAGTTGCCCCTTCCATATGCGAACGCCAGAAAGAAGCGCTCCTCCAGGCCGCAGAGGACAGACCAAGCAACTCATGCGGGCACACACACGACATTCTCACATTCCACCTCTAAGTTTCTCTTGAAACCCTGGCATGTTCATGTGCTTGTTGGTTGGTCATGTTTCCTTCCGATCAAAATGGGTTGCCACCACTGTGGCCAGCAAACTTCGGGAGGATGGATGTATTGTTCCTCAGACCTCCAATGATGCAGGCTTTCCCATTTTTTGAGTGGGTGTCCCAATAAGTTCAAGTGCCAAAAACAGGGGCGCCATAGAAATCCACGTAAGCGTATGTGTTCTTTTCTCTGTTGGTTTGAAAGGGAGTATATCACTGGACATACATGTTCTCATTTTTTCCAGGGGACGGAAAGCAAATGAAAACCAACCAATTCTTAGGAGAAAAACAAAAACACACACACACAAAATATATTAAAAAAGGCCCCCTATCCTTGGAGCCTTTCATGCCCGAGGCAGCGACTCCTTCACCAGCGGCATGTGTCAGCCGGCCAGCGAAGTGGAGAAGCGGCGCTTGGCGCGGGCCCCCGGGGTTTAGCCAGCCGAAAGACTGGCTGAGTTGCACCGTCCTTACCTGGAGTCTCCATAACCCTTTAAAAATGGGTCCATGACCCCATTATCTTGCAGAATGACCCGATTTTTAAAGGGTCATGGAGACCCCAGGTGGGCCAATTAAGGCCCCTGATCTGCAGTACCTCAACTTTCCGTTTTGTAAGGACCTGAAGTGGCAGTTCCACTAGAAACCAGTAAGTTGCAACACGGTGATCCCTGTTGGAGGACACCAGGGGACGGAATTTGGGGCGATCTGGCTCTTTTAGCCTGGGTGATTTTGTTAGTCACTTCTGCCTGCTGTGAGTGCACTGAAAAAAAGTCCTGGCGGGGCTGCAACTGGGAGGGTGCCCTGCAGAAGTCCATGAAACAATTGGCATCACATTCTTATTCACAGAGTGTACCGGTGGAACCGCAGATATGTTGGTCCTTGCATGCTGCACTTGCCCTGTATAGTTTCGACTTTCGAGCTGGAGCTGCGGCACTTTGTTGTTCTGTGCTACGTCATGCTACCGATACTTGTCAAGCACTTTTTCGTTACACACCTGCGTGACAAGGACCCTCGTTTCATACCTCCGCAACAAGATTCGTGCCGCGCCGCGCGTTACATACCCTCAAACATATCATAGCCATACCTGGATACCCCAAAGTGTGCAACATGTTTGTGTTTTCAACGAAAGCTCCTTTGGGAACAGCAACTTTTGCCTCCAAGCGATCGGAGAGGGTTTTGGGGTCAATTTAGTCAGTACAGGGGGATACATGTGTAATTAATTCGCCCCCTATGTAACAGTCTTGAGGCCATTGCGCATTGGGATCTTGGTGTCGGTGCTTCCTGCTGTAGCGGACAGGCTGAGTTTTCTCGAATGACATCGGCAGGGCTTCAGGGGGCAAGTGTTCAAACTATTCAAGCCAGGAGATGCCGTTGGGCAGACTCCCCTTGGCCAAAACATCGGTTGTCCAAATTCGCCTTGTCTCGTTGATTCGTGGTTGTTCTTCGTTTCCTTGAGAGCAATTCCTCTCACGGGGCCCTCCAACCCGGACAGAAGATGGAGCTATTGCCCGCTCTGTCCGACAGGCCGCTGCATCCCACGACTGGAATCGTGAGCACCGGGAGTTTCGAGAGCTCTTCACCTGACCTCACCTGTCCGCGATCGAGCATAGGCCTCGCTCCTCCATGAACCGTTGGTACATGCCAACGATAAACAAGCCCTGTGCACTGCCGCCTTGCCAAAGAAACTTGTTTGGGGCGGGGTCCACGCACTCAAGACTCAAGACGTTTGTTGTTGCTGTGCAGCTTGGTGGTTTCACAGGGCCTAGCATTTTGGGAAAACTGCAGCGATCCGATGCTCTTCCAGCCTAAAAAGTCAAGACAGTGCTGCTGACACCAGCGACGTGTCTGAGAAACCGCTTGTAGGGACACTGCGGCAAGTAAGCAGTACCCGGATTCCCGCACATGTGTGGTGCTCGGTTCACAATGTTGACGCTTGCGAAGATGCCACTCGTTTGAGCCAAGGGAGGCTTAGATTGAGCCTGAAAAACTTGATGCGGAACTCGTGCGGACTGGGAGGCTTCACAGGTCAAAGAGCCTGCACAGAGCTTCGAGCGCTCCATGATGAGGCAAATGTTGGCCGTGTTATGGGTATATTGGCTGAAAATGGGGACCCAGATCCCGCAAAATGGGTTGTCGTTCCTTTGGTTTCCCTTCAAAAGCAATCCTGGAAAGGATACCCTGAAACAAAGACACATCAATATCTACTTCTTGTTTTGATAGCACTGCTTAGCTTCGGAATGCAAATCAGAGGAGACTTTCTGTCAAAATGTCAGCTTGAGCATCGCTCAGGTTCATTTTTAATGAACAAGTGGCTGGAGGGCTTGTGCTACTTCGCCGTATTGCTTGGTCACACTCGCCGTTCGAGAGATGCGCGAAGCTTCACTTGGAACTTAGCAAGGCCGGAAGTCTCGGCAGTTGAGCATGCTTGCCAGCAGGAATACCGGGTGCTCCCGCCATCAGGAATTGTCTCGTTCTTGACAAATCCCTGGTGCAGAGAAGCGCAGATACCTGGACATGATTGTCCTGTCTGGTGGCAAGGGTACCGGGAAATCCAGCAAGTTGGCAAGGCTCCAGAGCGGACAGTGTGCTTGCCAGAAAGGACTGAGCGACCATCAACCCCTCGCCTTCCTGGGGTCCGGGGCTTGAGGATGGACCGCGGCTTTCAAATAAATAAGTATATATATATATATCATCTATATACATATATACATATATACATATATACATATATACATATTCACATATATAGACATCCAGCTTGGAAGCATTTGGAAGCGCTACATGTTGCGGGTTGAAGGTTATTGGCAGGCTCAGTGGCCGAAGGTGAACGCTTGCAGCGAAAAACATTTGCTGCTTTGAACAATCTGCGGAAAGCAATGTCGGTGTGGCTTAAGCAATGTCGGTGTGGCTGTCGATGAGGCTGTCACCCAGCTGCAGCTTTTTCCTGCCTCAAAACCCACCCCTTGCCTTCAGCTGGGGTGCGTCACTGGCCCATGACAGAGAATGGCCTCAAGGGCGAGCCGAACATGACGGACTTCGCTGGTATCATCCTGGCAGACCCTTGGCCTGTTTGTGTGTTTGTGCCAGGAACTGAAGTATGCACTGGCGAGAGGGGAGCGATGATTTAGAAGCTTTGTCTTCGGAAAGGAAGCACGGACAATAGCGGGTGGCTGAACTTGCATCCTCACAAATGGAATATGTTCAACTAGTCAAGGCCTAAAGCCAAGCCCAACTCTGCGCTGGAGCGGTGGGTTGTGGAGAGTCTTGCCACGGGTTTTTGGGCAGCATTAGTTTTTGGGTAAAGAGGCCTGCAGCTTTTGCAGGCCGGGGGCTTTCAACCCTAGCTTGTGGAAAAGGAGCTCCGCCCAGCGCTACCCTAGGCCATCTGAGTTTTTCAGTTGGGCCGCATGAAACCTCCCATAATCACGCTACTTGTCAAGTTTACTTGGTAGTGAGCCTCACGCACCCTTCACTTTCTCTTGAAAAGATAGAAACCCTGCGCTTAGACCTTTTGGACTTGGGGCTTTGGACCTGGAAAGCGCGATGCCAACCTGTTTGGCAGCGAGCCTCAGGAACTCTCCAGCTTCACTGCGAGGGCACTGAAGGATGCCAACCAGTGACCCAGTAGCATTTGCTGGACAGTCGGCTCGCTGGAGAATGGGCCCCCCCTGTTGTTTCTCCGGCCAAACAACGCACGGTTGGTGATTGGACGTCTCTGTAGGGTGAATGTTTGGAGGTTGACTGACAATGGCCATGACTTTGTGTATAAAGGTTCTTGGTATCCATGGCAACAGCCACACTTTAATTATTTGGGGGCCCGCAGTTGTTGCTCCGTGTAAAGAGCTTGAATCGTCTTTGCGATCGCACAACAGCCCTCCCACTGTTGACCTAAAGATCCCTCAAATACCTCCAAAAGTTAGGCTCGGCCGTATTATGCATGATGTGAGGGTTTGGTGCCTGGAGCTTTGAGAGTCATGCTGAGTTGCTTTGGCAGAATCACCTGTTTCGAGCTGTTTGAGAGAATGCATACTTCATAGACAAGAGTTCGGCGAATGTTCGGCACCAGCCAAATCGCCTGTGGCCCTCGGATCGTTAGCGCTTTCCTAAGACCCGCCCACATAGGATGGTCATCGCTGTGGAGGCGGCGGTGTCCCCATATACCAGCGCCTGGGCAGAGTTTCGGAGGGATAAAGTTGGTTCCGCCTTAGTGCGGAATGACCTGCTTGTGAAGCGGGCAGGCAGGCCATCCGACTTTTGTCATGGATGCATCGGCACGCAAACATGTCTCGCATCTCTTGCAAGCCCGAAGACCCACCGCCGCAGCCACCAGCATGGGTGCCGCAACCTGCAACAAAGATGGCAATCATGACATTTGAATGTCAACAGGAGACGCATTCATGGCAAGCAAAAACCTCTCCTTGCTTCGATTTCTGTTTCGCATCACAGCCACGAAGCTCGGACGCTCAGCGCTAGCGCAGCTAGTGCTAAACCAGCCCAGCTTTACCCAGGCACAGGGGTAGGATGAGATTGGCAAGGGTTCATGGTTTGCCACTCTGGCAAGCCACTGCTACTTCAGGTACCTTGTTGGATAAGCAAGGCGAGTCCTTAGGCTCCGCAGCGGGCAACGGAGCAAAGTCGGGGTCGGGCAACAGGGAACCTGCAAACTTGGCCAGGTTGCCGGTTTCGCAAGTTTTGTCGAGCTGCAAGTTTGCACCTGGATGGTATTCTGTGGGACGGAATAGGTGCAAAGCTATGAGTTGAACAAGTGTTTACGTGATTTGTTGGGCAGCTCTTGCACCTGGCCGTTTCCCAAGGCCTTTTGCGGCCCTGGCGGGAGTGACTCGGATGAACAGAGCGTGATGTCCTCCAGAAACGCTCGTCCCTTTTGATTGGTTGGCTTTCTCAAAATGAGCTGGCCAGACAGGCCTTTGTGTTCCTCAGTGCGAAGGGCACGCTGCGCCACCCCATGTTCTTGTTCCCGCCAGCGACACTAGAGTGTCCAACGCCTGCCACATTCAGTATATATGTCAAATGTGCGTAAGCTGTTGGTGACTCGTGGAGAAGTGTGTCGCTTTTGTCAGCATACTGTGGTCAATGTCAAACGGCAACCATTCCGTCATTCAGTGGCTTATGGTTTGTCAACAAGTGCCTGAAGTGTTCGCTTGTTGTTTGCTGTAATCTTGGACCGGAGCAGTCCACCAGTCGTTTGGACTGGCTTTAGTGGAACGGGCGGGGGAGCCCAATCCCGAATACGTAATTGAGCATTGCCAATTCTACATTTAGTATTGCGAAGGCTTGATCTCAGATTCCTCGTGCTGGGAAGGGTCTAGCAGAAGCAACATTAAAGAAGACCCCGAAGCAGTCATATCAGGCAGGATCAGGGGGTCCCGTGGGCACCCCGTTTGTGCAACTGTTTGTGCTTGCGTGTTTTATTGAAGGTCTCTTACATTTGCCGGTTTGGGGGACAACTTGCAAACTTGATCTTCCTAGATCTCAGGCCACAGCCTCTGAGCGGAGGACTTACATGAACCACCCTTTCAAGTAGAAGGCTACGGCTATTGATATGTTGGTTGTTGTTTTTGGCCCGAACTTTCTCTCGGGGCAATCATTTGAGGAAAGCGACTTTGTATAATGGACGCCCCACTTACAAAAGCAGGTCCAACCTTAGGTGTTGCGCAGTTCTTCGCGGCCAAGGCAAACGACTTTCCAAGTCAGAAGCTCGAACTTCCGACCTTCCCTCGGATGGAGGGACCAAGAAACTCACGGATCCACGTTCTCGGCATCAATCTTGCCAACCCGCTTCGAAAGCGGTCCATTTTGCACGTGCCCCTTGATCTGGTTCAAAGCCCAGCAGCATGAGTGAGCCTTGACTGGCTGGAAATGCGGACCCTGCATTGTGGGGCAAAGTGTCCCACAGGACAGACAAGCAGCAAGACTTGCCTGTTGAATAAACAAGCTTGAAACCTCCATTTCAGTCAAGGCCCAAAACGCTTGAGTCTTTTCCCCTTACATTCAACCGGCCCCGGAGGCCCAAATGGGTCGGGCGTGGAGTCCCGGTTTAGGTTCTTCAGCCTTGAGCTGCCCGAGCTGGACTCGGACGCGGACTTTTTGCAGAGGATAGTTCGCAGCTGAGCTCAACTCCCATTTGATTTGAGTTTTGTCGGTTTTTACTTTTGTGTTTGGTGGGCTCCAAAGGAAACATGGCGAATCCCAAGAAGCGTTTTTTTTCCAGCTGGGTCATTGGGCATGGGCAATAGGCCCGCTTTGGCCGATCTGCCTGGTTTAGGGGTGCAGTGCGCGGTCCTTTGGACATTTTTGGACAAGTCACTTTGAGCATGGCTCCAAAGAACGACGTCAAATGCGCTTGTGGAGGCCCCTTTGTGCCCGTATGCCAGTCTCCGTGCAGTGCTTGAGCCGGTTTGGCTTCTGGCTGTGGTGAGCTTTCTGCTGGCATGTGCCTCGTTTGGCTGTATGACTGTTGCACATTGCATTAGAAAGGATGCATCGCATTTGCGATGCATCATTGCAGCGCTGGCATACTGCTGAGTTTGAACATGCTTTGCCGTGTTTCGCAAGTTTGTTCTCAACTGAAGGTTGTGTTTGCCAGATCGAAGTTACATAGCTTTTCGAAGAGGGCCCAAAGCTGATTGTCCTTGTCCTTTGGAAAGGTC